TTCTCGAGTTCTATTTAGACCTACAGGCGCCGGATAAAGCGGCAAGCGTGGCCGAGAATCCTTTTTGCGACGCATGACAGATCTTCAGGGGGAGATGTTTGATAGCTATCATCGGTGGTACATTGCGGAAGGTACCATACTGCAGCAGATCATAGTTTGGTAGGCTTGAACGGTTGGGGGTGTGTAATTAGGAGGGAGTAAAATGCATCATAATCAGTGATACGATAGGCTTGGGTATTATAGAAGCAAACGCCCTTCTTAGTCGATCAGATAATTTAAAACTGGTTCGAAGACTTTGTTCCTAGCGTGGGATTGAAGTATGCTTGAACACCGTATTTATATGATGGTTTCCATTTACACTTCCACCTTACGTTGAGAATGTAAACACAACCACAAAAGTCATCACTTTCAGGGTTTCCAAACACCTTAATAGACATACTTTGATTGACCTTGATAGGTAAGTTCGGCACAGCGATTAGCAGAACTTTCGGCACAACTCAATCACTCGGCACGAATTAAGGTGTGCACAGTTGAACACCTCTTGTGGCGTACACAATTCGCCTGAACAACGGGTGATGCCGCTAACAGAACGACCACGAAGCTCATTCAGTTTCAAGTGCATTTAAGGTGATATCAATCGGGGTAATGGAATATTTGGAGCACACTCAAAATTTTGTTTACATATCTAATGGAAGAAAAACATGTTAATTTTACATAGCTTTTATGTGATCAAGTTACTGAAAATGTCAGCACAAAATTGCATTAAAATTGTGAGGCAGATAAAATTTATATGAAAAATCATATAAAATTCATGTAATCGCATAAACGTTAAAGGAAATTCAGATGTGCTTCATTATATGTACTTTATGTTAAATTAAATCATGTGCGTTTCCAATGGAAGGTGCATGAAAACTATTTTTGGTTTAATGGGACGTTAACGGCCTGAAGCTATTCTCGTCAATCAACCACAATCACAATTCATACGAACACATACCCTTTAAACTAATGTTTTTCTTAGTAAAGACTTTCCTTCCTTTACTTATTGCATTTAGAATATTAGTTTAAGCATATAATCTACTGAAAACATATAACAAACTTCAAGATTTTCCTCCAATACCTTCAGGGAAGGTTGTTTTAAATCCCAATACAATAATATACTTAAGAATTTAATCATCCCAATTTCTATTATTTGGTGCAATAAATCCATCTTATAACTTTAATGTAAGTGGCATAGGGTCCAATAGAGGTTTTTATTCCATTTAACTTTACTACACGCTTTTCGGAGGCATCGATCAGCTCCAGTTATATCCAAACGTTCAATCAACAGCAAATCAGTCTCAGCTTCGATGTTTTCAAGGAAATGAAAAATAAAACTCATGCATCAATCGTTTGGCCCTGAACTAGATTGCGCATTCAACGATGCAGGCGATCCGAGAAGATTTTCGTATTTATCGTGTGATTTCTGAGCTGATTTCTTTGCTGTTGCCCATTCGACATGTACAACAGCCGATCGATAAAGTCAAGGAAGAAGCCAGCCAAATGGGTTTTGGTTTCGATTAAGGAAATAAATGAAAAGAAAGAAAAACAATATATATTACACACTCAACAATAGGCAGTCTTCGGATCGGATTCCCACAACCTTCCGCCTGGTTCATCCAAAAGAATCATCACCATCCACCATAAGGTTTCAGTCTACAGAAAGTATCTTATTTTAAAATTTATAATAAGTCCTTTTTTGTAAAAGATGTACGAATTGGGATTTTGTGAACGGTCACCATCTGTTAATTGAATCGAACGATAAATGATAGTTTTGTCGTGAAGAGGTTGTTTCTTCGGAACGACGGATTGGAAGTGGGCAGACAGTTGGTCTGCCAAAAACGTCAAATAATGGACTTTATATGTACACATCTACAAGTGCAAACGCCACAACAATGATGGATGGAGGGAAACAAACGACTCTCTGCGTTGATGGCTAACTGCCAGCACATATTGAGTGGAAATGTCGGAGAGAATCAGGCAACTGGTGGATGAATAGGGGTGGTAAGACCGGGTAGCGAAAAGCTTTTGTTTCCACCCTTGTCGGCGAGAGAGTGTATTTATACAATCACATGTATACAAGGAGGCATGTTTTGGTTCGGTCGATGGAGAGAATTAGGAACTCCCTGCCCAAGGGACCCACATACGGATATCGTTGATGGATTGGGGTGAAGTAAAAAACTCTATATCTCCCTTGAGTATTAACATTCGTTTAAGGAAAACTGGCCCAAATTCCACGTGCTCTGCTAGCTTGAGGGATACAGAGATAAGGTATATTTGATTACTTCTCATTGGTATGAAAACATAACCACACATTGAAAGAAAATACACACTCAATCAAACACATACGCACGTACACAGATGGATTTTTTTAAAAACAGTGAGAGAGACATAGAGAGAAAAGGGGGCACAAACACAAGGTTAGATAAATTAGCATCCTTGGAAGAGGGACTAACTGACCGATTGGGGTGATTGGAATGATAAATAGTGACACAGTTTAAAATATTGTCTCCTTCCAGAGAGTGAGTGCAGTTTGCGGTAGGGTGATTTTTTAATCCTTCGTTCCAGAAATGCGTCGGAGTGAAATAGTTACTGAAATCAAATTCTGCTGCGCTAGAGGCATAGAAGACAATTGATGTTTTTTTTTAGCACGTTGCAAATTAAATTGATTGGATAATTTGACACCCGGGATTGAACTGAGTGGCATCAGTTGGAATGTTTTGTGCATCAATCAACCATACACTTTGGTTTCATTAGCTTGCAATTTGAATATCAACAAGCTGTAAGGTGATGCTTGTCATCAGGTAATTAACTTTCAACAAGCTCATTATAATATAAAACCCAATTATTCAAGAATATAATCTTGTGCTTTGTTTGAATTGGCATCTTCATCACAGCTATGTGATTTTTTTTTCGCATTGTGGTACCTATATTTGCAACAATAATTCGCAGTGGATATTAAATATGCAAGAAAACGCAAATAGCAATGAATTGAAGTCGAAAAATGTTGTTTGTAAATAGTTTCCAACTATGGTTTTCAAAAGCTGTTTTTTTTAACTAGTTCGTTTATTTGGGAGGCTCAATCGCGTTAGCTTTACGGAGCCGATAGTTCATTGTTCTTTGTTTGTAACAAAATTCACTTAATTCTATGTCTAGTAGGAGTTGGGCCGAATACTCGCGGCTTACTCGAGGTTAGAGAGGTACATTGTCGCAGGATAGGATCAGGGGAGGAGTTTGGGGGTAAGGTTTCGTTGTCTCATCAGAGCGTTGTCACCAGTATGAATGGTAGTGCGGTTCTTGTTTCGTCTGGAGTTCGACCGGCTATGGTGACCAGTGGGCGACGATGAGACTCATCGAGACGGGGGGACAACATCTTCAAAAGCCGTTATGTCACTGTAGTGTTTAACAAGATCTACTGGTCGCAGTGGTGTTATGTCCCGAACAGAGGAAAAAAAAAAAAAGATCTTTTCTGGATTCAAAGGTTTTTAGTTCGATGATAATAGTCGGAAGTCAAGTTTCTTGTTTTGATGTAGGTCAAAAAAGCATACAAGCGGGAAAATATTTAAAACCGGAGATCAAAATAAAAGTACTCCAATATTAGAATCCAGCGATCGATATGAAAATCCACAATACAACTTAAGCTCTTCAAAGAAGAACAAGTTGGGTTCATTTTAATTATTGTGATTTAATTTTTGGACTTATCTAAGAACTTTTCAAAGTAACCAGGAATTAAATTTGAATGTAAATTTCATAACACTTTAAGCATTTCTATTTGAAATTGGCAAAAATAAATCTGTAATGAAACCATGAAAAAATACTTTATTATCACGATTCGTTTTGAAAAATCTTGAGATTTATGTAATTCCTCATTAAAAATGAATTTGCTACGCTTTTGACAAAAAAATAGAAATGCCTTTATTCTTGTTGCCAGTTTTGGAATATTTGGGATATTTCTGTTTTAAATTGACTTTTCCTCTTCACATTCATTAAAACGACAAAAAGTCAGTTGAATGAATAAATAAATAAATATAATTTTCTAACTACCATATACCATATACACTCCTTAGCATTTTCTAAGCTTCTTCCAAAATTGCTTTAGAATTGTTTTCAATATTCCCTAAAAATGTCCCCAAAAGTTCTGAGATTTCTCTTAAAATCTTCCTCGTAATTTCCTCGAAGCAGGAATTATTCATAGAAATCCTTTGCAACTATCACTGGTAATCAAATCCAGGTTGTTTACCCTTTTCTGAATTCACATTAGAACTCTGGTTAAGATGTTGAAGTTGCTCACCAAATCGTGCATTAATTTAAGCAATGCATTTTTTTTTGTTTGGATCATAATTGATACAATTCATGAATAAGCAATACGGTGCAATGAAAAATTAAAATATTATAGGAAATTTTTTAGGTCCATTTTATAACTTCAACAGTCATTAGTAGTGCTTTTTAGCTCAACAACTAGTTTCATGTTTCGAGTGAAAATATTGGAAAATCACTGAACAAATGTCCGCAGAAAGTTTTGTGACTATGTAAATTTGTCTGTTCTGTAAAAGTGACGCAAACAATGTATTTTGTTTGGGAATTATATCATATGAAGGCTAACAATAAATTTATCAAACCGGATACTGCACTCATCTCTTCCCTGGTAAGTGATAGTGCCTCTTCCAATATCTAACATTTTTTTAGTGTAGGTACCTAAGAAACAAAACAAAACTAACACTAGTTAATCTTTACTATTTCACACGTTTGCATTTGAGACGTAATTACTTTGGCTCGCTGGAATTTATAGAGTTCAATGTAAAAAGAAAACACATAGAAATAGTTCAGTATCACAGCGGGCCAAAGCAATTCCATCGATTCGATCAGAAAGCTCTAACAGGAGAAGTGAGTAAAACTGTTATTAGGACAAAACGAACAGGAAAAATCGAAACCCAAGTGGGTGGTATACCAGAATCAGAAATTACCAAAGTAATTATCATAAATTCCTTCAGCACTACACTACAGCAGATTTGGTTGGCTTTCTGCGACACGGAGCACTTTCGATTTTCATTCGAACGATAACACACACGGAACTTTTAGAGGATGGATGCGGGAGAAGAACGGTGTTTTCCACTTTTTGAGCTCGACACATACACATTGGCAGCTCACCACAGGGGTTGAACACTTTATTTATGTATTTTTATTATGTTGGGTATTTGCTGCTTGTGAATATTACTTTACAACCAAAAACACCTTGTTGTCGTAGTATTTAGTCGGAGGTTCGCCGTTTTACACTTTTTCTTTACACTTTTCTTCACGGTTGAGTTTTATTGAATAATATAATTTTTACTACAATTCTTACTCGGTTAGGGATACCATAAATTACGAACGAACATTTAGTTGCTATTACTACTAGGTATATAGGGAAATGGCATTTATAGTACTATTTTACACACACTTGTTTCGCTCTCCATTTGGAATATTCTCTCACGCGTATAAATGACAGGATACGATATTTCACACACTTTGCATTTAAGGATTCTTCCTGATTGCCACTTTCTTTAGATTTAATCAGGTGCCGGAGGAAAGCCAGTTGTATGTAAATCTACCACCAAGATAACAGTATTTGACACCTGCTGGATGGGAACATTTCTACTTCTTTGCCGTTTAGTTTTTGTACCAGACAGCAATTAATTTATCGCACTGTTGTTGTGACACTCTCACTGACATGCTACCTACGATTCCGAAAGAAAACTCACTTCACTCGGTCGGGTTGGATTGTACAATATGCCTACCGTGCTCAGAAACATACACTCACGGAATCTGCTGGCCTCTTGACAGCGGTCCAGAATTCATCAAAACGATATCTTCTGTTTTATGAGTACACTGCTCCTGCTTGACGCTGATCGCGAGGAAGCTTAGTGATTCCCGTGGACCACTGAAAATTCCTCCCACAGAAGTGCCACCCTGAACTGCACTACCACCAAACCGAGTTCACAGCGCTTGCCTTCATCTCTTCTTGAGATGTGAGATATTTTTGAACATATTGTGACGGCTGGATGAAAATTTCCCTCTGCTCTGTTTGATTGGCAAATGCGAGCTCAAACTCAGTGATTCTTAAAATTCACCGGACGTGTTGGAGAATCTTGACTCAACTGCACAGTACAGTAGATTTTAACCACTCATTCACTATTCATATTTATGAATGTTTTCACGAGATCTACTTTGTATCATTTTTCAATAAATCCGGCGATATAGGAGCAATACGACACGAGCTTCCAAGACAGGGACGAGGGAACATCGAATTTGGAATTGCGATAACACTAGGCAGTAACGACAACACTCATGTACTGTACATTTTTACATAGCTTAGTTCTTTCGCATTTTTAGCTCTGTACAAGAGATGTGGATAATTAATTACACTATATCTTGAGTACGATCTGCCTCATCTGCCCATACGTAGGAGGAGTCCGACACAAATTCACCGAAAGCTAAAACCAGACTGAACGCTCAGCACGAGAGAAGACGAATGACTAGCCTAACGGTTGCTCACAGTTTTTCCAAATTTTCCTTTCCCCTCCTTCCCCACGTCACTTTGCGTGAGAAAACTCACTCGCGAGCGGAAAATCTCTTGTGCTGTTCTCACGTGTCATGGACACATCTGTTCAGTGTAGTTGTTCGTGCGTACACATGGCTCTCCCAGTAGCTCAATAGAAAGCTTTGCTCTTCCTTCAACCCCACGACCGCACACTCACGCACATTCTGGAGAAAATTACTTCAAAATATTTGCTATAGAACTTGCAAAACGGACCAACTGGAAAATCAATCTGTCCCTATCATCAGTCGAACGAATTTTACCGCTTCATCGATCACAGCCAAACTCCACTTCACCACCTCCAAACGAACCGATTGCTATTCTACGGTTCTGACCACTACATGACTACATCGGATGCACCTGCCGTCAGTATTTTCCCTGGACATTTGAAAACAAACGCACCCACCATTCTAGAATGTATCGCAATTTCAGAATGAAACCTTTTCACACTGGTCGACAGCGCATGGATGTGTATGTGCTGCTTGAACTTCGATCGAAGTTAATATAAGTTGCACAGGGATGAAGCCTGCGGTGAATTGTATGTTTAATACATATATTCAATAAACAGATGGTTACGATATGCGATAGCAGGGATTTCGTTTATACGTACTCCGCATCGCATCTGCTAATATGCATTAGCCTTAGTGTCCCTAACAGGGAATTAAAAATATCTCAAATTGTTAAAATGAAAAACTATAAAAGAACCAAATGATAACGAATTATCAGTTACGGCAAGTAACACAAACAACAAACAAAATCCTCCCATTGCATTATAGCTTGATCGGAACAGTGGAAGCAACATAATTTCATTGTTTGTAAGTTTCTTTGCAACACACGCAGGACATTTCGGTATACGTGAGTAAATGTGGCAATTAGGTTAAGTCATTCCACTGTTCCGATCATGCTATGTCGTCAATCGCGTTTGTTGCAACAAGCTTGCATACAATTTTATCTTTTTCCTTCCATCCGTTCCGATCAAGCTATATTGCAGATGGAGTTTATCGTGATAGTCGTCGCAAGAGTTTTAACCATACTATAGGTTGCTCAATTATTGTTCATTAATACATTTAGAAATAATTTTTTTTTTAAAGCATTCATTACACATTAAAAATAACCATTTGTACTGACAAGCTGATCCATTCATCTTAGAAAGAAAATGTTATAAAAGAAAATTTCATCGAAGGGTAATTAACTAGCCTTTGAGTTTATCATGCAGGCAGTATTCACTTATTCGTTTATATTTGTTTTATTCAAGGATGCATAACTGACCCATATTTTAAGGACTTTCGATAAACACATGCGATATTTATGCTTAAAATGGTAGATTAGTCACCGTCTATGACGACAACCCTAAAACAACCAGATCACCGATAAACGACCATATGATAAGGAAAAATATAAGATAAATTGTTTGGCCGTGGCTATTGTTCAAGCCATTGATCGACGGGCATCTAGCCCAGCAAATAAGATTACTTTCGCTTCCGTTATCTTGAGGGTGGCGATCCAGATGACGAGAGTGAGAGATTCGGACTACAATCCAATCATTAGTGAAATACACCACATTAACGAAATTCGGATATGTAAGTAGTAGGTAGTAGCATATGTTGTAATTCATGAGCGTTCACTCAGAGTGAGTGCTTGCGAGTAGTAAAATCGCTGACTATCTGAAAGCGAATTTGATATGTTTTATGTGCCAAACACTTGCCTTTTAACCTTTTCTTGTATCTAACGAGTACAAAATACCATTATAACATCTAAGGTTTAAAAAATTCAAAACAGCTTTATTTTGGAAATTTTATCCTGTTATTTACACTTGGGAAGCATGTACGGGCTAGTTCGAGTAATAATATAGATAATGTCGGTTGGAGTGTTGCCGGAATATTTAAAGTATTTCAATTAACCCCACATTTTTATACCCCATGGTGTAAATCGCAATGAGTACAAAGGGACAAGTTGAAATGATCAACGTCACTATATTAATACAAAAATCCGTTGTTGGTAAACAGCCCATCAAAAATTTGCACTATTCAGAATAATAAACCTAGTTTTAGCTGCAAAGGCGATATATGACTGCAATAGCTGCTCTACTGCTCATATTGATATTTTTTTTTGCTATGCATGGTATGATAGTGTGAGTGTACATAGAAAGCCCGTTTGGAACGCTACCACAACGCATCGGTGTAGTGGCAAGCGTGATTACCTCTCACCACAGCAGACCTGGGTTTAATCCCAGTCGACGCCGCCGGTATGTTCAAAGGCATAACATGTCTGAACACGGGGAAGTAAAGCCATTGGTCCCCGGTTCATGAGTTGATGGGTCGATAGGTAGGGTCCAGGTGTGGGAGCTGCCTCCCTGGCGCCGGTAACATTGGTTCTCAGTAAGAAAAACAAATCAAAGCATCGCTTGTTGAGCAGAAAGATGTACCATTTTTTGATTCACCGATTTGTTTAGAACTCCCATTCTGTTCTGTGCTCTATGGGGATTACTTGTATTCCAGCCAGGAATTGGTTGACGGTTTCGGTGCCAATTGACTCTTTTTGACGTGGTACTACGTCTGTGATTTCTATATAGGGGTACACTTTGTGAAAACCGAAAATGGCCCAAGCAACACGGCTTGTCATAAGGAAGCTGAAATTACTTTTCAATAACAAGCCGTTTTAATTCTTTTTCGAAAAGATGTTTTATGTGTTACTTGGGGGAACATGTAACAAAATTATGAAATACTTTGAACGTTAATAAATCAGCTGCCCCTGGACCAATTTCAATAATTTTATAACCAATCGATCAGAAATATGTCTACGCATCTGTTAAATTTAAGGCTTTATCATTTTTCAAAATGTCACTATTGAAAATTGCACGAATGTGCCACTGTTGCTATGACAATTCAAATTATCACCGATTGCCTGCGAAAAGCGATTTCCCTAACACAGATTTCAAAGTTAAATTCCATCCGGTCTTACCAAACGGCGTTTATTCAATCACCACGTGGTGAGTAGTGGTGTTCTCCAGTACACAATGAAAGGCTGCCTGCAAGCAGCGAGCTGCAGCCCACATGAGCATCCATAGAAGGAGGATGAATCCGCACCGCTATTGATCGGAATCAGTGCCGTGAGTCACTATGGGCAATCTATGTCAAGCGCGTCATACTATAGAGTATCAACAGAGAGAGCCCCGCTCAAATTTCTATTTCTACACAAAACACAAGCTCGTGCTGCAGTTGAAATTCCTTATTAAAGATTTGAATATATTTTTCTCCTTTACTTAGATCTTGGGTTATTATTAGTTAGGTAGGTTCCGTTGTAGTTGTAGTTTCATTTTTATACCTATGATCTTGACATTTTTACCTAGGGGATGAGTACATAAGGGGGTTAGGTTTTTGATAAGTCTTTAGTGAGAATGCAACGGACTGCATACTATAGTCGAAATACGTATCTGTTATGGATACCAATGTTAATTAAGTAGTTAACGTAGTCCTACGTCACCATTGCGTGCAACCCTATAGGGCTGTCCCATGTAGTTTTTTCAATTAGTTTATGTGTTAGGTTCAAATGTCCCAAAGGACTCCATGCTTCCGAGAACCATTAAGTAATGTTATAGTAACAATAACATATTAATGAAGGACATTGTTAATGAGTTTTTCTTATTCATCCTTGAAAGCGACTTGATTTTAGCTTAGATAACATATCAAGAAGACTGGCAACTTTGCCTGAATCCGAGCGACAGACACAGTAGCGCTGCGCTCGAGCGAAGGTAGAAGCAACGCATAGAAAAATGATCAAATACACAAACCTTTCTTCTGATGATGGAACCTTTGATACACACTTAAAAATATCTAATCTTACACGTGAAGGAATCCATCTTTGACATAAAGGATGAGACGTAAACAAACTTGTCATATAAAATTAAGTGCTCCGAGACTGAAAAGTTCGAAAGAACGTTTGATTGAGCTGACTTTCACGTCAATTTTATGTCAAAATTAACGCTCGTATATGTTATTCTCAGAGCACCTAAATTAACATGAATTTTCTAAGTGTGTATCCAATTCGTTCGGAGCCTTTACCTTTGAGCGGCAGATGAAACGATTGTGCCTGTCTCATACCGGTCGTTTGAAAAAAATGGAAGAGTTCCCAGTCTTCTTGATATGTTGTCTTCGATTTAAGCTTTCGATTTCATCTGTGATTCAACTCTCTTCATTCTTCCAATTGTTTTTCGTTCAGCAGCGCCCACCCCTGGCCTCCTCTTCGTCCTTTAAACACAGTTAAATATTATGAAAATTAACGGTGATTTGATTCCAAATGAATAAATGCTACCGTTATGCAGTATCTCACATAATTTTCAATCAGATAAGACGCAAATAATAATTATATTACATTCAATTTAGTATTGGATCTATTTTTATATAATCTAACTTTAATTTTTTAAATTTAAATTAAACATCATGTCATTTAATGCGGCACATTCCAATTTCCTCACACTTAGAAAAAATCATTTAAATTTAGGTGCTCTACGACAGACATATACGAGCGTCAATAGTCATAACAAACGCAACATTCAGTTCAATAAAACGTACTTTTCGTCGAGTAACGAACTATTCACTTTCGGAGTCCTTAATTTTATATGACATGTTTGTTTACGTCTCATCCTTTATGTCAAAGATCGATTCCGTCACGTGTAAATTTTTTTTTTACATGTTCTTAACGTAAACACATCCTGTGTTTAGCTTGCAGCGTTTGACGTTTGTCAACAAAGTATCATCAACCGATGGCAACTAACGATTTAAAATTGGCTCACTTCTTCACTTGCCTATTGGTCCCAAGCAAATCGATTAACGTGTCCCATTCTAGTCCAAATTCTAGTACTACTATGTCTGTTTTGATTCGATATGAAAGTTTGACAGATAAAATGAGGGGTTCGTGGATTTTGCTATGTTTCGAGGGGTGCATCGATTAGCTTGGAACCGAAGATAGTTTACTAGAGCTGAGCCAAAAAGTTGAGCTCGTTTCTTCGGGACCTTCTGGTCTTAGAGTTACCTCTATGGTATCATGGCGGCGGCACGCATTTAAAAACAGTTCTGCTCTTGATTTGAAATAATTGTGTCTGATTATGGTTTATTTTTTAAAGGAAGCTACACACTAAGAAATAACTAATCTTACACGTGATGGAATCATGTCATGTAAAATTAAGTTCTCCGAGACTGAAAAGTTCGAAAGTACGTTTGATTGAGCTGAATTTCGCGCCTATTATGACTCAATTTTATGTCAAAATTGACGCTCGTATATGTCAGTCTCCGAACACCTAAATTTAAATCAATTTTTCTAAGTGTGTAGCTAGCTTGTTATCAGCTTCATGAATTTCAAACTCCATTGAGACATTGAGATATTCTATTTTTCTAACAACCACCTTGTGCCGTAAATAAACAAATCTACACACTTCAAATATTTCAATTGCACTAGGAAATCAAAATGTGAAAGAGTTAGGGATTTAGGAATTATCTTAGACTCTAAACTAACTTTCATAGACCATTACAACACAATTATTCACAGGGCAAATAACATGCTAGGCTTTATCAAGCGCATTTGCTATAACTTTCAGGACCCATACACAATTAAAACACTATATATTGCC